CGATATTACCGATGCATCCAGAAAAAGAAAATAGGTGGCTTTGATGAAATGTCATGTCATTAGGCGGAACTAAGCTGTATGTGGCAGTGACAGAAAATGAAAATAATTTCCTCCTGGCACAAACAAACTCTTTTGTTGTAGTGTATGTGAAGTCTGACAGTGGTAATTTATGCATCTCAGCCACTAAACAACAGGTGAGTTCTAGCTTAATGGACGTTCAAGCATCTCGTTAAAGTTTTTATACTCTAAATTATGCATGCATAGTTAGTATATTTGGTGAACTGTACTCAATCTTTAACCGAAGGTCGGCGCGGCTGCATTTGGTCAGGAAATACTTTCTTATTGTCCCTGTGGCTTTTCTGGGTTTTCATAACAGGCGGGTGCTCGTTTGCCTTTTCTAAGTGTTGTAAACTATGCTTCGATCGCCCTTGTTATATACAGCTACTTACTTGAGCTTGTATTTCTGCGCCGACACGGAAGGCAGTAAACGCTCAGTTCGAGCTGCAAACCCATACATTTGTCGTTTATCAGTTGTGAATAGAAACATGGAACTTAACTGATATCCTGCCAACTTAAACTTGGCGCTGCATTTTTAACAAGCAAAAAAACAACTTTCCTGAATTAAGTGTAAATTGCCCAGCGGAGATATTAGCTCTTTCCTCTTTTTGCCTAAATGTAACAATAAGTCTAAATATACTAATATGCTTCTTTAATCCATTCAATATTTACGAATTTTTTAAAGGCCTTTGAGGTGATTTCAGAGGCACAATGGACATGAAAAAGTCATTAGCCCTTCCTGATTATTACGCTGAGGTGGAGAGGGAAATACAGGGTCTTGAGGCTACCTTCTTTGATTTCTGAAAACAAGCGAGGACGACGTCCTTTCTAAAATCAAGACAAGAGTAAAAGAATGCGAGACAGATATTGGCTTGTTCTTGTAGCAGGTAAATATCTTCAATATAATACCTCACACAAACCACTGAGGTGCTTTGATCAGTCATGATCATGCTAAGCACAAAGAAAGCCGATCTAACAGTCACAGAGAGGAGTATCAAAAATCTACCTAGCTAGGAGGTTACTCAATTAATTAATTAATTAATAACCGTCAATTAGGGTCTATCGAATTCTTAAGAGAGTTTACCTTATCTAGCGAATGCCAGGCTGCTTTTGCCCGCTGCTTTTGCCCGCACTGGTCTCACCTCACCAAGAATGAGGTTCAACCTCGGTTGGACCTAAATTTTTTGCCATTTTCGGTTCTGAGTACAACATTTACAATTTGTGAATTGAAATATGGAAGACAGAAAAGGATAAAGATACACTATAAAGAAAAAGGAAAAACTCCGAGGATGAAGTATCTCACCGAATCCATGCCTTACATAGGTCAAATATCAGAATTTGTTCACGTCAAGTCTGCAAATTTAAGAGAAAAGGCATCAGACTACAAAAAAGTGGAATTGTTTTGGCCTAACAGGTTATTATAGGTTAGAGACTCCCAAAATAATGTTTCAAGAGCTTCCTTTTATAAATATGATCTAAACTGGTAACTAAATTTCAGGACCCTATTCCAGGTTTTAACGCCGAACGATCCAAAGAAGTACAGGGAGAAAAGAACCTGATTACTCTGTTTCCACAATAGGACGGGTTCGTAGCAAAGGTAGCGTTGTGGCTTCAACTACCTTCTTTTTTTTATGCTTACGGTGTACGTCGCACTTTTATAGGCTATGATAAGTGAAGAAAGCTAAGGCGTTGCAAAAGGAGCGTCTACAATAAGAACTTTTTCCTGGGCAGCAAAGAAAGTTATGATAAAATTCCAGGAAATCTCGATTTCTACCAATGCCTTCGTTTTAGATCACGAATTGACTACATAGTCACCAAATATAAATCAAAGAAGAGTTTGTAGAAATTATTAACGTTTTAACATCACTGAATAGTCCAAACTTTACATTGTTTACGTTTCTGAGCCTTAACTTTTTCAGCGATGAACTTTAAAATGAAACCTATTTTTGTAGATTGTCATAAAGGACACGGGTGGTTCTTTTTCCGTTTTCTTTGCAAACTCAAAGTCTTTTTGTCTGTTTTCCTCACTTGGATAAATACTTCAGCTATATTCTATTGGTTAGCACACCCTTGACCGCAGTCAAGTGATTATGCTTATATCATTTTAGGTAATTAATTTATCGTATCCTAATAAAGCAGTTGTGTAGAGCACATGGTCTGATTCACGCATTACTCTATGGTAGTACATCGAACCCTAATGTACAACACATTTCCTTAGTGTTTTCCCTTAATAATTTCCAGCCACAAAGACCACGTGTAGCCCACAGACTGACTTGCACCAGAGAATAACATTTTAAATCATACGAAAACGTAAAATTTAAAGACCCCTGTCGGTTTTACGAGAAAAGCAAAACCATAGCACAACTAACTAAAACTTACACTTACCATACATGAGTTTGAGACACAGGGCTCTTAGCAAACCCCCTTCCCCCCTTAAATGGATTAGTCCTCTAGGGAAAAACTAGAGGGTAGGTTTTTGCAATGTAAATTGAACAAGCTCCCCCGTACCCGATGCTTTCAGATTCAAGAGTCTGTCCACGAGAGGACTGGGTAGGCGTAACACATGCCATCTCACCGATTTCAGGTCCCCGATTTCTTTAAAAATTTCACAGTTTACGAGGGTCACAATTTATTCAAGAATCCACATCAAATCACTGGGGTAAGAGGCTTAAATTGGCTCGAAAAATGCGCTTGCAACTAATCACTCTCACAGCAACAGAATGCCGAGGATTTTACTCTTGTTTTGTCCAATGTTATTTCAACCTTAAGTAAACAATTTCTTAGAGTCGGGGTAATTTACTATAGTTTCTTCCAATTAAGAGCAGATAATCATTAACTGTGTCACGTAACTATTCTAAAAAAGAAAATTTACTCAAATGAAATGATTCTCTTTAAAGGAGACTGAAGACAAAAATTAAGTTAATTTTTTCGACAGCCAAAAAAACGAATTCTTGATTTCAGCTGTTTTTTGTACTAAATGTTTCTTCCCTCTGATAGATAATTCTTTAAAGTTTGTATTTTTGCACTGTTTCGGCTTTCAAACCATGGGCATCAATTTTAAATCAGATGTCTTCGGAAAAAGCTTGTGAAGTATGTTATGGGGAGAACCTGAGACCGTGCCCTGGTATCGTTTGGCTAAATTGTATCACAAGTTGTCTCTTCGTCACCCCTTTGTCATGAGCGGAGTAGAACCGTTTCAGTTCTTGACAATACGAACTGACATATCAACCTAGAGGAGAACCTTCTCAGGAAGAAAATGAATTACATATAGTCGAATAATTTACCATATTCCTACAAAATCTGTTATGTCTGAACTGAAAAAGTGTTACTGTGATTACATACCTCCTCCTCCGACGAAGTCCCTCCCAACCGTTTTAAACGTTCACGAAGTTTGTTCTTCATCTAGTGAATTTAAGCCTTTCATTGAAGGACCGAAATATTTAATTAATTCGCAAGCTTAAGTTATATCGCCTATGGTATCCACTTTCTCCAGCTCCGTAGACATCATGCACTTTTAACAAAATTCTCGAGAAGTCACGTCAACAATAAGTGTTTTTTTTTGATATGGCGTCAGATAATACCCAATGTAAGGTTACTTCTCTCAAAACCACTCGTGATGTTGCATTCCTCAAATCCTAGTTATCCATTTATCAGCCAATGGAGGTGCTTGACGGGTTTTTCAAAGTCGTTGTACCCCTGAAAAATCATTTTCATGGCCACAAAACTCGGAAGGTAAAAACACAACTAGATTTTCTCCTATACAAGAGCACTTGATCTGTTGGTACTTTGAAATTATCGATCGAGGGTAACTTCAACGGCGAATCCCTCTCAAGCTTCTTCAAAATGTTTAAAAAGTTCCTGTACGATCCATTTATGAAATAATTACAATAGGGATCAATTCACTCTGCAAAGAGCATCATACGCATTCCACGTCACGCTCGTTCAAATAAATCAATTGTTAGCATGAATCATCAGGCTTCAGCCGTCTTATTAGCGTGATTTGCACATGTTGAGTAGTTAACTCGACTAAACTGTATCTCACATTGTTTTAGTTTGAGTTTTCATGGAAAATTTTTTAATGCAAAGATAATCAATTGCTCCTTGCATTATATATGTTACTAATTCTGAGAACACTGTGATGCTTTTTCTGAGAGTAAAGTTCCTGTCATTGCACAGTTGTCAGAGGCACAGCAAGGTAGAATGGATTTGCAAGTCTCTTTTTGACCGCCGTCATTTGTGGTTTCTTTGACAATAGTTGTATTCCAATATGTATCAGTATCTAAAAACGCTGGTAAATTGATAGGCACGATGGATGTGACTCCACTTTCATCTGTAATGCAAGAGCGAAAACCAGATCATTGACTGCTTGCATGTCGAGGTTAAACCAGATGTCTGTTATCGCCACGAGCTGCCAGCCAATGAAATGAGAAAGTCCAGAGACGATTTCCTAGAAACTAATATCGTCGTAAAAATCATTGCTATCTCTCTTCGCTTTTCCGTCCATGTTTATAAGAGAATTCCAACAACTTTTTGTTCGTATGCGTTTTTAACAAGGGATTCACGGTTAATAGCTTTGAAATGTTTGATTTCTGTAAATAGAGAAAGAACACTTGTTTATGTCAAGGTTTAGTTCTTTTTAGAGGCTGATTAGACTTTTATTATACCTAAAATCAGCCAGGGATTGGTAGCTTAGAAGAGCAAAGCAGTTGATAAAGCTAGTATTTTCGCCCGAATTATCTATATTATCAGGTTCTAGAGCGACCTCACTGCTTCAAAGGGCGTTTTGCATTAAACGTATACGTGACGTGAAACTTGTTTACCGTAAGTCGTCACATGATGATTCTAGGAATGTAGGCCTTGCAAAACAATCTCGAGATTGAAAATTCGTTCGCTATTGGGCGCCGTGTAATCAATTTTCCACAGTTTCTTTTTGGAATAAATAGATGGAAGCCATCAGACGAAAATTAGATGAGGCAGATGACATCGCCGAGGTTATCGATTTAATGCAGAATTTGAGCATTCCAACCAAAGGATGCAAAAACATCGAAGACATGAAGGAGAGGATCCTCGCTCATCTCAGTTCTCGAAAAGATAACCGCTTGGCCTGCAATGAGGTAGGACTGCCAGGGAAATGATTCAGTGTTACTAAATGAACGTGGATTTACTGGTTTTAGGCTTTCTTCGTTCTGATTTAGACATTTCCGGCATCATTTTATAGCTAAAGCGTCGTTGTTAGCTCATTGCATTCGATGGAAAATGTCTAAGTAAGCTAGCGGTCATAGCTATTGTCCTTCCACTTTACGTTTGCTCCTTATCATTAGGTTCTTTTGCACAACCTGGCTGGTTGCATGGGATGGGCCGGGAAAGACAATAGTTGGCAGCAAGTATCCTTTAATGCTATTCCTTTCATCTGTGCATTTCGAAAGCGAGTCGATGAATGTTTACACTAAACTTATTATCATCACATCGCTGTAGCTCATAAACGTGGCATCGTAGAGCGAATGACTCAGAATCTATAAGGCTCTCATATATCATGTATAGTTACTTGCTAGGACGTCTTGCTGTAACAGATTTTTACTTTTCTCACTCGATTAAAACCACTGCAAAGATTTCAAAGAAACATCGAAACGCAAATCGATCCTTAAATTCGATTTTTGTAATTTCATGTCTGTTCGGTTACCGATCAGTGCATCAATCGACCCAGCATCATACAGCAGAACGGCTACGGATCGCTTGCTTGTAAATTTGTACAATATATGTTAATTCTGAGCTTTATCAAGTTATTGTCTCAAAATAGCTTCGAACGTTTTCCTCAGAAACACCGGAAGACTATTATTCTCTTTGTTGTCTTTATTCCGTGTCGTGGCTCAATGGTTCGGCCGCTTGTCATGGCTGCCATCGCCTTGCTGCCAAAGCAGTTGGGCTTCTGCCTTTGAGAACCTGTTTGAAGCTTTTAACCTCACTGTCACCAGTAATGGAGCGTTTGTGCTCTTTCTCTGTCAGTTATCGGTCGAAAGCAGTAACCATTACGCGAAAGCTAACAAGCTCGCCATACGAAAAATATGAATAACTGTGGTAATGTCATGACAGCATCATGTGGCAAAAGACCTTATGGTCATTTGGCTGACAGCTCACCGAATGAAGTTGAAATTAGTTAAGCTCCGCTTTATATTTTGTTCCGATCAGTGAATTCAAAACAGAAGGAAGACAGTTAGGCCTCGAACACAAAATGCAGTACTTACCTCGGTTCTCTCAAACTCAAAATTCATTTGTTATTCATCTGACTCCTGGTGTATGCCATTTGTTTCTTGCAATGCTAGTTAGTTGAGAATTAAGCCAACAATGAACCCTATTTGACTCTTTTCTTTACTTTTTTGTCCTTTATCAGTTGAAAACGATATTACCGATACGTCCAGAAAAAGAAAATTGGTGACTTTAATGGAATATATTGACTATCGGCAGAACGAAGCTTTAAGTAGCAGTGACAGAAACAAACTCTTTTGTTATAGTGTATGTAAGGTCTGACAATAGTAATCAATGTATCTCAGCTCTCGAACTTTCAATTAACAATTAGAGGAGCTTAGACTGTGCTCTGTGCTGTTGTAAAGCATGCAGGAAGCGGTTGGAGACCGAAAGAAGTGTAGGGAGAAACACGAGACGTAATCATTTGCCTCTTTAACCCATTCAATATTTGCACATGTTTCAGGCCTTTAAGGTAATTTCAGAGGCACAAGCAATGGACAAGAAAAAGTCATTAGGCCTTTTTGATTATTACGCTGAAGTGGAAAGGGAAATTCAGGGTCTTGACGCTACCTTCCTAGATTTGCTGAAAACAAGCGAGGGCGACGTCCTTTCTAAAATTAAAACAAGAATGAGAAGAATAGAAGACAGAGATTATGTTGTTCTTGTAGCAGGTGAATATCTTGCGTATAATACCTTGCCCAAACCACTGAGGTGCTTTGATCATGATCATGCTAAGCACAAAGAAAGCCGATCTAACAGGGACAGAGAGGAGTATCAAAAATCTACTTGGTTAGGACGTTTCCCAATTAATTTTACTTTATTTTAAAAAAACTGTCAACTAGGGTCTATTGAATTCTTAAGCCGGAGAGTTTATTTATGTAGCAACATGTTAGGCTTTGACTTTTAAAACCGGAAAGTTTACGTCGAATAACTCGAACTCGAGTATATGGGCGGGAGACTTTATGGCAATTTTAGTTTACTTATAGTAAAATTTCAAACTAATATTTATTGTTTAAGGAAGAACTTGAGATTTAAGATTTAATGATAATTTTGTATTTTACTTACGCTTAGGGGAGACCAGTGCAGGCAAAAGCAGCATGTTGAACCTAATTCTTGGTGAAGAGCTTTTACCATTTTCAGTTCTTAGTACAACATCTACGATATGTGAATTGAAATATGGAAGAGAGAAAAGAATACGGATACACTATAAGAAAGAAGGAAAGGCTCCGGAGACAAAGTATCTTACAGAATCCTCGCCTTACATAGATCAAATATCAGAATTTGTTCACGTCAAGTCTGCAAGTTTAAGAGAAAAGGCATCGAGCTACAAAAAGGTGGAACTGTTTTGGCCTCACCGATTATTACAGGTTAGAGACTCCGACGATCATGCTTCAAACCATACTTTTATCAATATGATGTAAGGTGGCAACTAAATTTCAGAACCTTTTTGGAGGTATTAACGCCGAATGGTAAGAATCACGGGGAGAAAATAAACTTGTTTACTCTGTTTCCACAATAGGACGGTGTTGTGATCGTTGACAGCCCTGGCGTCGGGGAGTCTGACATTATGGACGATATTGTTGTGAACTACTTGCCAAATGCCTTTGCTTTCATCTATGTCATCAACAGCAGCAATGCCGGAGGAGTTCAAAGAGATCGGGTGAGTAATTATTGATACTTTCTGAAATGACTACCGGCAAATCCTTTCAACTCCTCACCAGCGCTCGATCTATTTATTAGACCACGACTTTTTTAGATAGCTCAAGGAGCCCAAAAAGCTGTTTTATTTTAGCCCAAGTTTTAATTGAATTGTTTTCAATAACCTGTTTCCTCATTTGGTAGCTTGTTCGACTTCTGCACAAAACGAGGGAACTCACAACTGAGCAACAAATGGAATTCTCACCAAACTGCACTTTGTTCGTTTGCAACAAGTGGGACACCATACCACCCTCAGAGGGAGATGTGGTCATAGCGCACATAATCAACAAGTTGAGTCAGTGTTTGCCAGATGTCGACATAAATACTCAAATCATCTGCCTTTCAACTACTAAAGCTCTTACGGCTCAGAAGTATGGAGTCATGAATTCAGAATTTGTCTCACTTACAGACAAGATTGGCTGCTTGGTTTCGAAAAGCATCGAAACAAGACTTGAACAACATTGGAGGTAATTTAGATCATTTCTAAATGTATGTTAATCATGAAGCTATTATTTATTAGGCAAAAAGCACCTCGTTCAGTAATGGCCTGTCATCAAGATTTCTTTCTTTCCAACAAAAATTAGGAACTGCCATAGACGAAAGTAATTGTATAAATTTACACTTTTTCCTGATTGCTTAAACCCTCTTCTCGATGGAAGTCTAAGGCGAAAGAAGCCATATCTGAGGTGTAGTAATTGAGGGATAGATAGAGACCTCCCCCTCTGAATTTCCACAAAAAGGGTGAAAATAATAGAATCATGCAATATTCCTTGAATGACGCCATGTCTCTCCACTAGAGCAGCTATTCTCCACCCATCTCTGACAAATATATGAAGAATAGATGCATGGACGGCTACCTTAAAAAAAACCAGGAACCTTTTCAGATTTTCCTCAGAATAATCAGGAAAAAATGTGTATCCATGGTATAGAATTAACAAACATCGATCTTTCTTGTGCGTTCAACTGGTAACTATATTTTATTCTTCCTTAATCTGTACAGGTGGCTAGATCTTTTGCTGTCTCGAATAACCTGGCTTATGAGTACATTAATAAGTAATATCTCCACTGACCATGTAGCTGCAACGGCTAGATTAAATGCCGTGATAGAGAGGCTGAGGAAGCTTCAAGCGGAACAGGAGTCATCGAAGGAGGCAATGAAGCAATATCTTGGAAGCAGGACTCGTGAGGCCATCGAGACCCTAATCGACCATCTACAGACTCCCCAAGTGAAAAAGAGATTTTGTAAGTGGAACTCTGACGAGCTTCCAGCTGTTGAGAAGTCATGGGAAGTTACCAAGGCTGCCCTTGTTAAGCTTCTTCAAGGAAGACTACAGATGTTGATTGAAGAATGGGAGGAAAAGCAGCAAAGGTTTGCGAAGGCACGGAAATCAGTGATCAAAAAGTTCCTCGAAAAATACAATTATCTGGAGAGAGAGCTTCGCAACGTAGAAGTCAATGTTTCTCAAATACAAGTACATGTTGAAGAAGAAACGGCAAGCGAAAGTGTAGAGGATCAAGTTTTCAACAGCATTTACAACTTTTCGCTTCCATTTGAAAGTAAACTTTATCTTGGAATAGCGATTCCTTTCATGGTTCCAGGTCTTCTTGTCGGAGCTGCGTTTGCTGTTCCAGTAACACTGCTTCTTCTTCCCATTGTGGGGGTTAAATCTATTGCCGACAACATCAAAGAAGCAAAAAGGAAGAGTGCATACAATAATGATCGCGCTGAGTACGTACGAATCATGGCACAAAAGTTTCTAGCAAAAGCTGCAACCTTCGAGGCGCTAAAGCCACTGGTCGAAGCGCAATTAGAGCTGGCAGTAAACACCCTGAATGACCTGCAAGCGAGAATCCCTATGCTTGTTGAAGCCGATGTAAAACTTTGTCAGCAACTTATAGAGGAGGCGCAAAGCAAGAAGGATTCTGAAGCTCACTACAAGCCCTGTAGAGACAAATGCAAGCGTTTGCGCGGTGAGCTCGCCTTGTTTGGTTCTACGGAAATCCGGTGCATGCGGCTCTCCTGGGATGACCTTTCTTGGGATGTCAGCGAGGATGTTTACTTGAAGCAAACAATGGAACCTGGGCTCTACCAGGGACACATTTCCAAGGGAAGGTACTCATCAAGAGGTCAAGTAACTTTTAAAGTGTACAGAGAACTGCTGACCAGGAGCAATATTATTGATTGCTTGGCAGACGAAGCAATCTTAAGGTACAACTTAACTAATAAACAAACAATTTCTTATCAAACACTTAAACAACAAGGATTTAGGATTTAGAACATGCGTTATGCTAGTAACACTTTGGTATTCTTCCAAAATACCCAATTCACTTCAGTAGGTGTGTTGAGCTATTTTTCCTGAAACATGACACTCGTATTGGCATTCCTCGTTTAGCGTAAAGTTTTGTTCGATTCGTTCTGGAATTAATTTTCACCGGTTCAGTGCTCTACCAACCGAGCTTACAAGCCAACTGAAAGCTGGTAATCGTGTTGATTCGTAATAAACTGCCACTGCATAGGTCATGGGTTCAAATCCCATACAGGCCTAAATTTTTCCAAGCCTTATTTTCACTACTGCTTAAGTATTTTTTATTACTGTGAGGATCGCTTTCATATTTATTTCCTAAACCGCAATTCACACACTATGCGAATATATGATTTTTATATATATATAATTTTCATATGTTTACAATGTTTTTGAAAATGTTTTCCCACTTTCTTTAGTCATTTTGTTGTTACTCCTACCGGGTCCAAAGTTGAAAGTTGTCCACATCTTTCTTGTTTTTGTTGTTTACTCCACAGGAGGCTTTGCCATCCTCACATTGTCACGTTTTACGGTGCTGTTTTCAGAAAGGTTCCAAGAGGATTAGAAGCAGCCTTTGTATCTGAGTGTCCAGGAGTTGATTTAAAGTACTATCTGATCGATCAGCCCGGAAATTGTCCTGCAAGGAATCCCACATCTTCAGGGAATGCGTTTCGCTGGGCAGACCAAGTCGTCGAAGCACTGATGTCGATTTACAGCATATTTGACGGATGTGTTCACGGTGACCTTCGGTTAAAGAACGTTTTGGTAGGGAAATATTTTATTTGTAATAAAACGTTTTGTTTTAATTGGTTTAACACTGAAGGAAAAAATAATAAATTTAGAAACTATCAGAGCGCGGACACAAATGTAGCTCTAATAAGATTTCCAAGGTCTATAACTCGCAGTAAAGTAAAGGGTTAGATTATTTCTCTCTCCCGTGTGCACCGAGCTTTTCTCGTTCAAGGACTTCAGCGTCATTGTTTTCAAACTTAGTCTTAAAGGCTGTCTTTAAGTACATTTTTTGATCTGGACTAAGTCAGGCCAAATAGCTTGCAATTAAACCCTTACACTTTTGAAAAACTAAATCAACTATAACTGCGAAGTGATCGCCCCTATCAACTATTGCATAGTTTGCGCTTATTGCAAAAAGTCATACATCGGTGAAACAGGAAGACGACTGAGTGACCGATTCCGAGAACACCTTCGCAACGTAGAAGGAAATGACAAGGACAAATCTAAACCAGTTGCTAGATAATTGATCTCCCTAATCATTTTAAGCAGCATATGGCAGTTTGCGGCTTTTCCCTACATCTAAATAGTTCAGAAAGCGGAAAACTCTAGAACAAAAGTTTATCTCTCAAACCGGTATCCTTAATCCCCACGGTATCAACGAGCGCTTTTCATTCAACTAATGAAGTCAGCTTTTGAACTCCATACGGTGGCCAATTTACGTGATCGACTCAGCCAAACTACCCTATTATACTCTTCCACCGATGCAGCGCCACAGTTCTGTAGAAACTTACCCCTTTTATTCAGTTATATTATAGTTATGAAGCAAGATATAAAATCCATCTCATAACATCGAAAAGCAGATGAGATATGACTGCTTTGTTCACAAACAAGTGTGTTTCAACCAAAGCAGTGACCCTTGCCTCTTCAGAAAGTGGAATCATGCTCAGTTCTATTCTATTTCTTTTGGCGAGATCCAGTGTATTCTTTCAAAATGCTAGTCAACCAAGACAAAACTAGTGTTTATCAAGTTTATTTTAATAATCAATTGAAGTTTTTTTTTTTTTAATTTACATAGCTAGACGGTTCCAATCTCCGTGATATTAAGCTGAGCAACATCTCCCTCAGGAGGCAGCTGACCATTGAGCATGAATCAAACTGTGATGCATTTCTTCATCTTCCGCCAGAAGCTGTGCGAAATAGAAACTACAATGCCTCTTCAGAGATTTACTCCCTTGGGATTTTGTTCTGGGAAATGTGGTACGGCGAAGAAGCCTTTCACGATCTAAAAGGTCAGAAGATGGAAGTTTTTTTATCAAGCGTAGAAGGAGGCCATCGTCCCGATCTAACAGGTATCACAACTCAGACATCAGTTAGGTGGACTAGCCTCGTTTCTGGATGCTGGGAAAAGATAGCCTCAGAACGAAGTAGCCTCGCAGATTGTAAGTCAGCTATCAGGGAAATTTTAGCTAGTGCAAAATAGAGCCTATCCTGGAAAATAGTAACAACATGCTTCAACTTGATGTAAAATGAAAAAAAACAGACTTTTAGATATAGAAGGCATTGAGAGCAACTCGGAATACTAAGCTGGATTAGCCTCAAACTCTGAAGTTAACTACACTGTGGAAGTTACAGTCCTATCCTATGTATCAAATCACAGAATGATCTTTTAAACTAAAACAGTCACTAAATGTTTGGTTTGTGGCCTTCCATTTTTCCCTTTTTTTTTTCATTTGTGTTTTAAACCAGTTTCAATTGCTTCTGTGATCGGAATTTTTTTTAACACCATGTTAGGCAAGTCTATACAATTAGTTGTTACTTTATACCTCTCTTTCTAACTTGTCAGTTCCATTAACCTTTCCACTACCTGTTTTTCAAGTTTCTGATTAAATGGAAGTCAGGAGTGGAAACTGTGGTACAGAGAAAGTTTTTCCTTACTGTCACGAAAGTCTCTTATAATGCAATACTGAGGCCATCCACACATTTTTTTATAACTGTTCCTTAAAATTGCAATTCTCTTTTTTTGTTGCTTTTGATAGCTTTAATCAGCCAGTCTTTATTCAGTAAATATGAATTTCAATAAAACCTCGGGAACTTTGATCTTATACGTGGGATGCTAATTAACTGCGTGTTTTATAACTTTTTCTTGTAATCACCTTGTTTTGAAGGGGTAGTACATGCCTTTATTTTCTTTATTTCGCTAAAGGACGATTTTCTGTTTTAATAACGCACGCAAGTATCTGAAGGAATTTAATTGCAATCACCATTAGAAGGATTATAGACAATTGGGACATCTCACATTTCATTTCATTTCTATACGAGGTAGTTTATCTTTTTACCCCCGCATCAGGGAGAAGCATTTTTTCATCCTTGTCATCTGCTCTCAGTAATTACTTTAGTTTAATAAAAATTTCCAATGTGCAAGTTTGTGCAAAATTTAGTTTTAAATCGTTTACAATGATTATGTAGTGAAAATAAGCGATACCAATTGCAATTTGTATCTCTGCTTATCACACTTTGTGGTTCTGGCTTTTAGAATAGATGATCTAAAATGAACTCTTGAGCTATAATGTGTAGACCACAAACATATTTCTTATGTAGCACAGAACAGTTATGAGAAATTTTGAACGTGTCTGATGTCCAGAGAAGCTAAATTAAATTTATTTGGTAAATTAGTGTACGAAACGATACAACGTTGTAGAAAAAAAGCCAAAATACGGAAGGAGATGGAAGAAAAAAGTAGACTCACTTGTAATTGTACACATTCTAGAGGTTGTGGCTTACTCAAATCCTCAACAACTGCAGGGGTAACATAGTGCGAGGTGACAATAATTCAAACTCCACTTAGTAGATTTAAACTGATTTAGTGACAGATCAAAGTTCAGAGGTCTAGATCACTCGGTAGCGTTAGACATGAAGGGTCACGAAGATAGCGAAGATCGAAGATCGTTGGGCTTAGTAGCAGTAGCAGTAGAAAAAACAGTAGTAGGTTCGAACTGAAATACGATAATTAAAAAATAGATTCTAACTTAGATAAGGCTAAAGGGAAACGGTAGACTATCAAGACATAGAACAACAATAAACTAGCGAGCTCCTAGCGTAAAATGAATAGACGTGATAATTTTCGTGTCATAAATATTATCATCAAACGAAGGTTCAAACAGCAGTATCGTACTAAAAAAAAGGTAGCTAAATGAGCATAAAAGGATGACAATTTGAAAAGAAATAAGAACAATTTGTAAATGAGATCTTTAGTCAACACTTAGTTGACTAAACGAGATGTTCTATGACCGAGAGCAAAGGTGTGGTGTGGCCTCACCTGACTTAAGATAGGGTAGCTTGAATTTTTTTATCCTTACGGTTTGCGTCGCACTTTTTTATAGGCTATGATACACTTTGAAGGGCTAAGGCGTTACTGAAAAAGCTAAGCGTTTAGCGTTTACAATAAGAACTATTTCCTGGGCAGCAAAGATTCCAAAGTTATGATACAATTCCAGGATATCGCGATTTCTGCCGATACCTTCATTTAAGATCACTTAGTCTACTACATAATAAAAATGTAAATCGAAGGAAAGTTTGTAGGAAATTAGGGTTAGGGGTGTTTAAAAACTAACATCACTGAATGGTCCAAACTGAACATTGTTCACTGTCTAGGGCTTAACTTTTTCAGCGACGAACTTTAAAATGAAATCTATTTTTGAAGATTGTCGTAAAGGACATGGTTGGTTTATTATCTTTTTTTTTTCGCGTTTTCTATGCAAACTCAAAGTCTTTTTTGTCTGTTTTTCCTATTTGGATAAATACCTCAGCTGTATTCTATTGGTTAGCACACCTTTGACCGCAGTCACGTAATTACGCTTATGTATCATTTTATGTAATTAATTTATCGTATCCTAATAAAGCAGTTGTGTGGAGCACATGGCCTGATTCGCGCATTACTCTATGGAAGTACCTCGAATCCTAGTATACAACACTTTTCTTAAGTGTTTTCTCATAACAGTTTCCAGCCGCACGGACCACGTGTAGCCCGCATGCTGACTTGCACCAGGGAATAACACTTAAAATCATACGAAAACGTAACATGTAAAGACCCCTCTGAATATGCCGGTTTTATGCGAAAAGCAAACCATAGCATAATTAACCAAAACTTACCTCTCCTCACACATGAGTTTGAGATACAGGGATTTTAGTAGCCCCCCTCCCTCCCCCCTTAAATAGATCAGTTCTGGCGAAAAACTAGAGGGTAGGTGTTTGCAATGTTAATTGAACAAGCTCCCCTGAACCCGATGCTTTTAGATTCAAGAGTCTGTCCACGAGAGGACCGGGTAGGCGTGACACATGCCATCTCACCGATTTCGGGTCCCTGATTTCTTTCAAACTTTCACAGTTTCTGAGGGTCACTAATTTATTCAAGAATCCAGAGTGATTCGGGCTCCCGGCTCATCCCTGGGGTACTAGAGCCCCCACATCAAATCCTTGGGGTAAAAGGCTTAAATTAGTTCTAAAAATGCACTTCCAACAAATCACTCTCACAGCAACAGAATGCCAAGGATTTTACTCTTATTTGGTCCAATGGTTGTTTCAACCGTAAGGAAACAATTTCTTAAAGTTGGGGTAATTTACGATAACTTCTGCCAGTTTAGAGTAGTTAATCATTAACTGTGTCAGGTAACTGTTCCAAAAAAGAAAATTTACACAAATGGTTCTCTTTAAAGGAGACCGAAGCCAAAAACTGAGTTAATTTTTTTAGACAGCCAAAGAGACGAAATTCTTGATTTCAGCCGTTTTTTTTCAAAATGTTTCCTCCCTCGGAGAAATATTTCATTAAAGTTTGTATTTTCGCACTGTTTCGGCTTTCAAACCATGGGCATCAATTTTAAATTGGCGGTCTTCCAAAAAAACTTGTGAAGTATGTTATGGGGAGTACTTGAGACCGTGTTCTCGTATCGTTTGGCTAAATTGTAGCACAAATTGTCTGTTCGTCGACCCTTTGTCATGAGCGGAATAGAAAATTAAATGTTTCAGTTCTCGACAATTCGAACTGACATATCAACCTGTAGGAGAACCCTCTCAGGAAGAGAATGAATTACATGTAGTCGGATAATTTACCATACTCTGCACAAATATCTGTGATGTCTGAACTGAAAAAGTGTTACTGTGATTACATAACTTCCCAATCCTTCGCGCCAAAGTCCTTTCCAACTCTTTTAAATATTCACGAAGTTTGTTCTTCATCCCATCTAGTGAATTTAAGCCTTTCATTGAAAGATAGACATATTTAATTAATTCACAAGCTTCAGTTATCTCGTGTATGGCTTCCACTTTCTCCACCTCCGTACACATCATGCACTTTTGACAAAATTCTCGAGAAGTCACGTCAGCAGTAGTGTCAACGAGAAGATTAGACTTTTATTATACTTAAAATCAGCCGTGGATTGGTAACTTAGAAGAGCCAAGCGGTTGCTAGCGCTAGTCTTTTCGCCCGAAATATCTATGTTATCAGGTTCTGGAGCGACCTCGCAGCTTCAGAGGTCGCTTAGAAGTAAACTTAAACATGATATGAAACTTTGTTTACCACAAGTGGTTACATGATGATTCTAGGAATGTAGACCTTGCAAAACGATCCCAAAAATTGAAAATTCCTTCGCTACTCGGCACCGTGCATTAAATTTAAATGGAAGCCATCAGACGAAAATTGGATGAGGCAGATGACATCGCCGAGGTTATCAATTTAATGCAGAATTTGAGCATTCCAATGAAAGGATGCAAAAACATCGAAAACTTGAAGGAAAGGATTCTCGCTCATCTAAGCTCTCGAAAAGATAACTGCTTGGCTTGCAATGAGGTAGGACTGCCGGGAAAATAATTTAATTTTAGTAAATGAATGTGGATTTATTGCTTTTAAGGGTTCTTTGTAATTATTTAGACATTTCTGGCATAATTTTATACCTAAAGCGTCTTTGTTAGCTCAATGCAGTTGATGAAAAATGTATGGGTAAGCTAACAGTCATATCTATTGTCTAAGACTTGTCTATCCACTTTACATTTACTCCTTATCTTACCGTTGCATTAGGTTCTTTTGCACAGCCTGGTTGCTTGTGATGAGCTGGGGAAACATTGCTACCTTAACAAACTTGTACTTGGCAGCAAGTATCCTTTAATGCTATTCCTTTCATCTGTGCATTTCGAAAGCTAGTCGACGAATGTTCCGAACCAATTATCATCACTTCGCTGCGGCTCATCGACATGGCATCGTAAAAAAAATCGCTCAGACTCTATAAGGCTCTCATATATCATGTATAGTGAACAGATTTTTACTTTTCTTACGTGATTAACACTACTGCAAAGATTTCAAAGAAACATAGAAATGCAACTTAATCCTTAAATTAAGTTCTATAATTTCATGTCTATTCGGTTACCGATCAGTGCATCAATCGACCCAAAATTATACAGCAAAAGGGCTGCAGATCGCTCGCTTGTAAATTTGTACAATATATGTTAATTCTGAGCTATATGAAGTTATTGTCTCATGTAGGCTTCGAACTTTTTACTCAGAAACACCTAAAGACTATTATTCTCTTTGCTGTTTTTATTTCGTGTCATGGCTCAATGGTTCGGCCGCTTGCCGTTGCTGCTATAGCCTTGCTGCCAAAGTAGTCGGGCTTTTGCTTTTAAGAACCTGCTTGAAGCTTTTAAACTCTCTGTCACGAATAATCGAGAGCGTTTGTACTCATTCTCTGTCGGTTTTCGGTCGAAAAAAGTAACAATTACAGCGAAACTATCTCGCTAGCCACATGAGTAATTGTAGCAATATCACGACAATATCATATGGCAACAGACCTTATAGTCATTTGGCTGACAGCTCACCGAATGAAATTGAAAAAAGTTAGGCTCCGATTTATATTTTGTTCCGATCAGTGAATTCACAATAGCAGGCAGACAGTCAGGCCTCGAACACAAAATGCAGTAGTTATCTTAGTCCTTTGAACCTCAAAATTCAATTGTAATTCATCTGACAGTGCCTGTCATTTGTTTCTTGTAAGGTTAGTTGAGAACTAGACTAACAATAAACCCTATTTGACATTTTTCTTTATTCCTATCTCCTTTCTGCTTGAAAACGATTTTACCGATACATCCAGAAAAAAAAAATGGTGGCCTTGATGAAATGTATTAGCATTCGACTGAACTAAGCTCTAAGTAACTTATACAGAAAATCAAAATAATTTCCACCGGGCACGAACAAATTATTTTGTTGTAGTTTATGTGAGGTCTGACGGTAATAATTTACGCATCTCAACTCTCGAAATTTCAGTTTTAATTAAAACAGGTGAGTTCTTGCTTAATGGAAGTTCAAGCATCTCGTTAAAGTTTTTATACTCTAAATTATACGTGCTTAGTTATAATGTGTGGTGATCTGTACTTTATCTTTAACCGAAGGTCGGCGCAACTGCATTTGATTGGGAAATACGTTCCTATTTTCCCTGGGGTTTTTTTGGGTTTTCGTAATAGGCGGGTGCTCGTTTGCCTCGTCCAAGTGTAATAAACTATGCATCGATCGCCCTTGTTATATACAGCTACTACTTGAGGTTGTATTTCTGTACTCACACGAACGGCAATAAACACTCAGTTCGAGCTGCACACCTATATATTTGTCGATTTTTAGTTGTGAATAGGAATAAGGAATGTAACCGATATCCTACCAACTTAAACTCGGCGCTGCTATTTTAACAAGCCAAAAACCAACTTTCTTGAATTAATTGTAAATTGGCCAGTGGTAAAATTAGCTTTTTCTTCTCCTAGCCTATATGTAACAAGAAGTCTAAATATACTCATTTGCTTCTTTAACCCATTGAATATTTTTGCATGTTTCAGGCCCTTAAGGTGATTTCAGAGGCACAATTAATGGACAAGAAAAAGTCATTAGCCCTTCTTGATTATTACGCTGAGGTGGAGAGGGAAATACGGGGTCTCGACGCTACCTTCCTTGATTTGCTGAAAACAAGCGAGGGCGACGTCCTTTCAAAAATCAAGACAAGAATGAAAAGAATGGAAGACAGAGATTATGTTGTTCTTGTAGCAGGTGAATATTTTTAATATAATACCTTGCCCAAACCACTGAAATGCTTCGATCAGTCATGATCATGCTAAGCACAAAGAAAGCCGGTCAAACGGTGACAAAGGTGAGTATCAAAAATCTACTTGGCTAGGACGCTAGCGAATTAATTGTGAGGATTTCACCATTGAAACCGGAAAGATTACGTCGAATAACGCGAACTCGAGTATGTGGGCGGGAGACTATGGCAATTGTATTTTACTTAGGGTAAAAATTTCACACTATTATTGATTGTTTAAGGAAGAACTTGAGATTTAAGATTTAAGCAATGATCTTTTTGCATTTTAATTACGCTTAGGGGAGACCAGTGCAGGCAAAAGCAGCATGTTGAACCTAATTCTTGGAGAAGAGCTTTTGCCATTTTCAGTTCTGAGTACAACATCTACAATTTGTGAATTGAAATATGAAAGAGAGAAAAGGATACAGATACACTATAAAGAAAAAGGAAAGGCTCCAGAGATAAAGTTTCTTACAGAATCCGCGCCTTAAATAGATCAAATATCAGAATTTTTTCATGTCAAGTCTGCAAGTTTAAGAGAAAAGGCATCGAGCTAAAAAAAAGGTGGAACTGTTTTGGCCTCACAGATTATTTCAGGTTAGAGACTCCGACGATCATACTTCAAAACCTTCATTTTATAAATAAAATGTAAGGTGGTAGCTAAGTTTCAATGTCCAAAAGAAGTACAGGTAGAAAATAACTTATTTACTCTGTTTCCACACTAGGACGGTGTTGTGATCGTTGACAGCCCTGGCGTCGGGGAGTCAGATATAATGGACGAAATTGTTTTGAACTACTTGCCAAATGCCTTTGCTTTCATCTTTGTCATCAACAGCAGCAATGCCGGAGGAGTTCAGAAAGATCGGGTGAGTAATTATTGACACTTTCTGAAATGACTACAGGGAAATCTTTTCAACTCCTCACCAGTGCTCGATCCATTTATTAAACCACGATTTTTGCAGATGGCTCAAAGAGCCCAAAAAGCTATCTCATTTAAGTCCTATGTTTTAATTGAATCGTTTTAATAAGCTTGTTTCCTCTTATGTTAGCTTGTTCGACTTCTGCACAAAACCAGGGAACTCACGACTGAACAGCAAAAGATATTCTCACCAAACTGCACTTTGTTCGTTTGCAATAAGCGGGACACCATACCGACCCAAGAGGGAATTGTGGTCATGGAACACATAAAAAAAAGTTGAGTCAGTGTTTGCCAGATGTAGACATAAAAACTCAAATTATCTGCCTTTCAACTACTAAAGCTCTTGCGGCCCAGAAGTATGGAGTCATGAATTCAGAATTTGCCTCACTTACAGACAGGATTGGCTGTTTGGTTTCGAAAAGCATCGAAACAAGACTTTACATTGGGAAAATGTACATGAAAGACGAGTAGTGTCTGTCAAGTGTTTCGTGTCTTACTCCTTTGAAAGCAAGTGGCGTAGTCCTGTGGGGGAGAGTCTGTCTGAGAGCGAATAGAGTAGTTGGCAGGAAACTTAAGCTTCGACACGCGGACATGCTTCAACTTCTACGTAATTACGAGCTTTTAAAAATTTGTTGAGAAACCAACCTGACAAAAGCACGACTTATTTCTCTCTCTTTAATCTCTGTGTGTGGTAGGCTGATTGGTTCCTGAGATTTTTCACTCCCAGCTCCAGAAGAGCGTAATCCTTGTCACTCATCATATTTAGAAGGGCCTCTGTGCTCACGCAAAATTCTAGGAAGAGCGTTTGTCTTCTCTCGACTTCTTTCCTGGCCTCTGTCAACGCTGAAAAGGCCTAATAAGTGGAGCATGGATTGATTATATTTCTTTGCAAAAATATCAAGACAATAAAACTTAGACTTAGCTTTACTATTTATCTATGTCGGCCACTCAACATAAGACAAAAATTACTTTAGTATGGTGGTTTCTTTGACTGATCAAGCAAGCGTAGTCACGAACACTTTTCCTTACATGCACGTTTCGCGGTCACCCACCAGGAATGGTGGGGTGACCGTTAAATACAGGCCGACCAGAAAATGACTTGTGAGATGTTAGTGCGAAATATTTTTCCCAACAGTCCAAAGAAGACAGAAAATTTTAGAATTACCGTGTTTAAGGGGAATTTACAACTGCTTAATAAAGGGTGACCGCTAGACTTTTTACCTTCTCCATCTTAGTGGACTTTATGTCGTAAAAAGAACTAAATCAGTGGTTGAGACGCCAAGAACTTTCATTGAATACAGTAAGTCACCAATATCGTCAGTGGTGGCAATATTTAGTTTCTCTCTAGACGGCGGCACGACTTGAAGAGATGCCTGAAAATTAAAGGGAAATTAATCTCAAAATTCATTACTTCACTAAAACATCAGTGAATATTAATGTCGAGTTTTATAGGTCAACTCTAGCTGACTTGGAAAAAAAAGTAAATAAAACTTGGACTCTTTCGTCGGCCACAAGCTACCATCGATCATCCTTTTTCAATGGTCCGCAAAAATATTAAAGTGATTATGTTCATGAAGTACCATAAACAAGAAAGGGATAAACTCACTGGCAATTAAACATATAGCAAATATTATAGATATTCTCTGAAATGTGATAGGAACCAAGAATTGTATTATATTTGCTCACTTTTGCATTTAATTTGATGGCCTTCCTCTAGTCATTAATATATTTTTAAGATGAACCGTGGAAACGGTAAATTATTTTTCCACTTGATTTCGTGAGTTATCAAAGCGCCTTGAAAATGTGGCAATTTTTTACCCTAAATGTCAATCCATCACAAAGCACTTTCATCAAAAAATATTTTGTGGCAGATATATTCGTTGGGCGAGACAGTATACCGAAAAACCAGTCTTTACGCTTACTTCTAAAGCCACTGTAAATTGACTGTGAATGCTGCTACAGTAGTAAACGAGAAGAATACAGAATAAAATACTGATCAGCTACAAAAAAATATTTACCACTCGATTGAAATTACCTGATCTGCATGCAGAAAAATTTCTTTGTATCTTATGTACTCCTCCTTGGTAATCGTGGTTCTCAGTTGCAAACGACTTAATCCAAGCTCCTTCAATACTTCAGGCGTGACGAGTAATTGTTGCACTACTTGACTGAGATGACCACTGCAGTAGTCAACCCAAAGTCTTTCAAGAGCCTGAAGTGAGCTGCAGGTCACTGATATCACCAAACTTCCCTCCCTGTAGTCTTTGACTTCTAATCCTAGTACGCCCTTTAAATACTCAAGAAGTTGCAAAATAGGCCTTTTAATCCGCAGAAGATATTTCCAAATTTGGGTCACCGTTGAGGAATCCGAGGGATTTCCTTCTGTGTTTCTCCTTGTTGGTCGTCGTAGATAGGTGCAATGACGGATCTATCAAATCTCGTGCCAACTGAGTGAGTTTCCGATCTTTGTAAGAAGCACACTGACATCGTTTCGATTTGTATTTTAATCTCGTCTGGGGTAAAAATTAAAATAATTTACATATTCACAGACCGTACATACAAAATGAACAATGAATTCAATTCAATAAGAGAAAATTAAAATGAAATGAAAAAAAATATATAAATAAAAATAAAAGAAAGGTACTGATTTTAGAATCTTAGAAAATTTTCCCCAACCCAACCCCTTTGATTTTTTATGCCAAAATCTTTTTTTCCTCTCTTGAATTGCCTAGTATTCTACGGAAAGAACGGGTAGATCAATTTTACTCTAAGAAATGATTGCAATAAATCGTATAGGAGAAATCAAGGGAAAAAACAACATTTGGATAGACAGGATATAAAGGCATAGGTTTTCGCGCCAATAAAGGAAAAGGGAAAAAAACAAAAATTTGATTATAATTTTCCTCGCTAAAAAAATTTATATTACTATAATTTTCTTATTCTTATTATAATTTTATTGTAATTTTCCTCGGAAAAACTACCGGGGTATTTACAGAAAACTTCAAGAAGTTGAGTAATTTTCGATGCTTACCAAGTTTTAGATCAACTAGTCGAATCTGATCCATAACATCCGTAGAGTCCTGTCAAATGGCTTGCATATCGGAGCGAAGTTGATCCACCCTATCTCCCAGTTGTATTACTGAATATTTCACCTCGAGGTCTTTTTCGTACCGTACTTTCAGATCTTCGGCGTATCTTTGTGCTTCTGGAGTTAAAGGATCGTGGAGCAAATCTTCAATCCGTTTATTTTATTCATCTTTCTTTGCAGTACTTAGTGATCCGGCAATTTGCAAAAGAGCTTCCCTGATCTCCCTCCAGAGTTTGAGGAAATCGGAGTCGGTAATTTCCATTTTCGAAGTGTGACCATATACGGAATTCCGGAAAAACTTTATCCGAACCAAATCCGCCTCAATGTTACGATCTGTGTTAGCTGGCAGACTGTTCCATCCAGTTGAAGGTGTATGGTAGCGGGAGATCCTGGAGGATGACAAGAATCAAACTTTTGTTCAAAAGTTGGATACCCCTGCACATTAACAGTCGTGTTAAACGCTGAAAACTTGCCTTTTCTTTCGTGGAACGTAATGTTTCTTCTACATCTGCAACAGACGCCATTCGGTTGAAACACTGATGAGAAGTGAGAGGAAGGAAGTCCTACTCCTAGGAAATAAATCAGCTTATTTAGAATGGCAAAATGAAGAGCACAAATATTTTTATGTTTAAAGTTCGCAGTTAAGGAAAGAGTCGAACATGTCAAGTGTCAGTATATGTCAAGTGTCAGTCGACACTTGACATATACTGATCTGAAAATTAACATTGGCCGTTTTTATGCTAGAGAAGTTAAAGTTGTCTGAGACGTTAAAGTCGTCTCGAGACGACTTTAACGTCTTAGACAACTTTAACGTCTCTAGCATAAAAACGGCCATTGCTACACATTTCAGATGTACCTTACAGTTAGCTTTGAATCTCAATGCAGCCAAACAACACTCTTGTCTATTGTACACTGTACTCTTACTGTGCAAACGTAGCTCAGGATACAAATGTGTAGCTAAACCCTGATAACACAGAAACTAGAGCTAAAGACTCTTAGGATTGAAATTCCACTTCCTGAAATATTAATTCCATGTGTATTATTGTAGTTGTTTCTAATTTTGTCTGATCAGGAAAATTTAGGAAATTTCAAATAAATTTCTTATCATTTTTATTTGTCTACAAGGAACATCGCTGGTAATACAATCCGGTTATCTAGAGATGTTCTGTTTTCATTAAGGATAGGGTTTCAAAAGTTTTGAAAATTACAATAAAAAATACGATCAAATGCATATAAAAAGTTATCGTAACTTTACACGAGTGAAGATACAACTTTTAATAAGACTAAAAATCCTTGTAAAATACGTCAGTTTAAATAAAAATAATCATTTTTAACTTGAATTAACTCTTTGTTTGAGACGTCAATCTGTTATAGTTGCAAAAGTAAATATGTGGACTTTGCCAATTATGTTATTAACAGAGATTGTTATTGCTAGCTTTTGTATAGATTGTAACACGATTTCGAGTGTAGTTTGGTGTAAGGAAGCACGAGTGAATTTTTCAAAGACAGCAAAACTACACAAGCCCGTAGGGCTCAATACAAGTCCTTATTTATTCCAAATTACACGAACCAAAACTAAAACTAACTTCTAGAGCATTATTGGTTATCACCAGCCGATTTGAGCACCAATAGGGTAATCAAGTATTATCAACTGAGTCGATAACGTAAATTGGCTACCGTAAGGAGTTTAAAAGCTGAGAGGTTTTTGGGATTAGCCCTTCGTCAATCACTCTGACGCAGTTTATATTCGCAGTTTATATTCTCAGGATATCTTACAATGGTTTATTCAGGTAAATTATGTCACAGCTAGCTTATCAGCTAAGTGGCAATAGCGATTTCAAGTGCATGACACATCTTTCAGAATTCGGCAAGCGACCCCGCTCGCTCCTGATGATTTCTTAGTTTTGAAAATCAAGTACCGTCAGGTGTTGACTTCCATTCTTGATCAGCTATACGCCTTTTTAGCTGGATAATTTGGCAGAGAACGAATAGCGGATCACTGTTTACAAGTGCGCATGCCCTATGGTTTCAGAGAAAATGAAAACATCAATATCGACTGGCCGATGGTAAACGAACCTTAGCTACAGTTAGGCGCGATTTCTTATCGATTCACGCATTTGTGTGCCAACAACTTTATGAGGGTTCTAACAAAGGAGGTAATTTACCAACCGGCTGTATACTCATGTTACATATGTATTAACATCCTGGAGCAGAGGAAAATAAAAAAAATTCACATTTGAAAGAAAAAACAAATAAGGAAGGAATCAATTTGATGTAACCTTAAACATTCATTTATGCAGAAATAGCGATTTCCGGCGCATCATAATTCACAACTAAAAACACAGAAAGAGACTTGTTCAATCTCGCTGCCGAAAAACTGATTTCGATTTCTGTAACTTTTACAAAGTGACATTGACTAGCCTCTAACCAGCTTAATTCGGTCAGCTTTATGGCTCATTACTCTATGGATTGGTGAAGAGTTTACGCGAGCCCCTGCCGTTTGCGACTGAGAAATTGAAAACATCAGTACAAAGGCAGACGTTACGCTACAATTAGACATGATTTTTTTGTTGACTAATACACCTGTGCTAGTAAATAAACAAACTTAAGTATTCGAATGGTGAGCCAAAAATTTAAAAATTTGTCTCGACAATGAGAGGTTGCAGATTTTAAAAACTAATTTAGTACTTGAACAAAGGAAACCACATTGACACACAGACATCGAAATGGTTGACAGCATTATCATGGAAGTTAGCAGTAACTTCCCAGCGAGGCACGAACTTAAAAATAGACTCAAAAAAATTACCATGGCTCTTGTGGAGCAGTTCGCGCGCGCAACGTAGCCCCATGCTTATAGTAAATAGCGATAAGCCATCAAGCCGAGAAAACTTGTAAGGGTTTGACCGAACGTTCGTAAGTACAAGGTGCTTCCTTTTTGTATGCACAGCCAACCGAAATGTGGGCTCAAATCTAGCCATTACGCAGGTAGAAGGGAAGCAGAGAAAGCATTGCGCATGCGCGATTGCTTACGTAACTTCGAAATACCATTCGTGTGCGCAGGTAGATAGTAGATAATAAAACATAATCGCTACCTAAACGTGAGTAGTCTGGGTATAAACGATGTTTAAATAACAAAAGAAAATGTGTGATTCATGAAATAATGGTAAATATTTCTCAGCTCCATTTCCAATTTACAGTCTGCGAATCTGGTCTTTTAATACGCCCAGGTTCCAGTTGACCAGTTACCCTAGCTTGTCTTCGTTTAAATCGAACTTTCGCAGCGCAAGAAACAGATGGTAGACAAATTTCGTATTCCAGTAGCTATAGAGTTTCTATGATCAAGGAAAGATGGTTTAAAGACACTGACATATGCAGTTACAGTAGAGGTTACCGAATTTAATGACAGGAAATTAAAAAAAGCGTTGTCATTTCTTTCAATTTTGGCCCATTTTCCCAAACTGAAATTATCATTCATGCTCATTAGAATAAAATTTCAACCGAGACTGACATCATATATTACATTTTAAGAGGAAAACATTCCCTATACTCGAAAAAAACAACAACAACAGGAACGTCAATGGAGGTCTTCAGCTGCTGAAAATGCCTCTGTCTAACATTCCCATCAGTCGTCAATCTCCCACCCCTGAACTAGTCCATATATAACCCCTGAGACGGATTCTTCGACAGCCAGCGCTGTGGAGTTTAAAAAGGTGAAGGGCTGAATAAACTAACTGGAGCTCTCCTCTTATCTCCAATTTCTTAGAATCAAGATTCAACTTTCTTTCTCGTAGGTAATTTACCAACCGGCTGTATACTCATAATGTTACATATGTATTAACATCCTGGAGCAGAGGAAAATAAAAAAAAATTCACATTTGAAAGAAAAAACAAATAAACAAAGCAACTTTATTGAGAAACGCTTTTCCAGCAATCTCTTTGAGTTGCAAGTCAGAAGAGAAGATAGATTGAAGGATTGTGGAAATATTAGAATAACAGAGCGGGGAAAGAGGTATGTCATCTTGTTTATTTTTGTAGTTATATACCAAAACGTGTGCAATCAAAGGTGGTTTTATTTCGCTTAGAATATTTTAGTTTTGATATATCTGTATACATGCCCTGCGTGTTCCAGTTTAGGACATTTCGATTAGTGTATGCCATACGGTAATAGCTTATTTCAGGCTTATTTCAGGCCTGAGCTTTTACTTTATTTCAGTTTTTACGAGCTTTCAAGTTTAATGAACGAACTGAGATTCCATAGACGCTTGGAGGTTCCGTCAATAAAAGACATTTCTCCGACGCGGCGTTGTTAGATTCAGTTGATGTCAGCGTCCGCCAGATAACAATTACTCTCTCTCCTGGTACCCTGTGCATTATCGATTGTTAGATAAATATCAGCTGTAACATAAATATTTCTCACCGGATCTGCATGACTGAAGGTGCCGGCAATCTGTTACAGTAATGAATCTAGCTTAAAAGTGCTTTTCTTAAATTTCCCGATTTAAGCAGACTCTTCGTGATTTGCAATACAGCACAACTGCAACACTGTTTTCGCAAGTGAGGTAACAAAAGTACTATGCTTAATAATGCCGAAACAGTCGGTGATTCCTATTTTTTTCGGTGAAAGGTATTTTAGGCTAAAAACTGTACCACCTTCAATGTTTATGATTAATTGCAACACGTTGGTTGAAAGCTCGCTTTTTTGAAGAAAAAAAAATTAACAACAAGTAGGAAGAATTTCGAACCTAGTTATGGTCAGGTATGACGTGAAAATTATAGCACATGTCAGATTCTGGCAAGGCTCGATCCCCAACGGAGGTCCTCAGAGCTAGTCTTGATGACACAAATTCGAAGGTGGTACTAATAGCATGCACATTGAAAGGCAGAGAAGAACAAAGTTCGTGAAATAAATTCCGTAAACCTGTTCTCCGATTCAAGCTGTTCGAGAAAACAGATGCACTCTCTTGCAGTTTTTCTGAAATCAT